AACCCTAAACCCTAAATCCTAGCAAGTTTAGGGTTCAGGACTTAGGGTTTTTAGAGTTCAGGGTTCGGGCTCTAGGATTTAGGAAGTTGAGACTTTCTGGCTACCATTCTCAGGATGCTGGCTATGAATGGTAGCAGCTGCAGAAGTACGTGTAACTGTAATAACAATGTGAAAAGTAACTTTGTTAATATGTGCAAGATAAATAGAAGACAAACGGTGACAACAGTAATAAGAAGAGCTTCAACGTAGGTATGAATAGTTCGCACCGCGAACTGTACTGAGACTGGAGTCTAGAGACTAGCAGCAAAGACCTACAACCTAAACCCCAGACCCTAAGCCTTACACCCTAGACTAGACCCTAAACTCAAAACCCTAGACCCTAAACCTTAAACCCAAGACCCTAAACCCTAAACCCAAGACCCTAAACCCCCAAAACCCTGAACCGCAAACTCAGCTCTTAAGGCCGGGGTAAAGCAGAGAGCTCAGGGGCAATGGCATTTCGGGTGTTTTTGCTCAATTCAGGGGGGCGCAAAAGGTGGGATGTAGGTAGGCTAAAGGATCCTTAGTATATACTCTACTGTATTGGGGCTTATTTCCTCTACCCCACCTTCCATCATCCAACCTTTTGAGGCCTTTGATTAATTAGCGTAGACTCAGACAGCATGGATGGTTGGGAGGTTTTAGTCTTCCTGTTTGATGTAGAGGCTAGATTGGTAGGGCTTGGACTCTGGCTCATGTTCTACCATACTTCTGTAGGGATGATGTCGCCCAGCTTAAGGTTTTGGGTTCATGGATTAGGGACTGTGCCTAAAAACTACATAGGCTTGTGTTCTGAGAGGTCCTTGGGTAGCATGAAGATACAAGGGGCACCCTTTCTTACTAACATGCGGACGATTTTGAGAAACTCCCGCGTCACTCTCGAAACGACAAAGATGATGCCTAAGCCAGGAGCATGTCAGAGAAAAGCGATGACTTGATGGTACTTAAGAAGTACCGCAAATTGCTTCTGAGTAGGTTCGCTTAAACAACAGTCAGGGATAATTAGTTACATGTCCCAAAGTGCCATTCAGAATGAATACTTCAGCTCTGTAAACAATCTTTCGAAATTGCATGCCACCTCTCACAGCGAAGCAAGAAGAGCTTTTCCCGAAACCATGAGCCCACAAGCCTGCAGCCTTTCTGAAGCTTCACGACCTACCAATCCTAAATCCAAACCCCTGGTCCTAAGCATTTGGGTTTCGAATTCCAAGCAACCCAAATCCCAAGCCTTGAATGTTTTTTTTGCCGCGGCCGAGGCGCATCAGCCCCGTAGTAATACCTTGGAGCGCTTGGGGCTTAGGGAAGGCAAACGAACAAATCTCAGCACTCTGCCCACACCCACATCCTCGTCCTCAGCGTCACTGCAACCCGAAAATGTGCAATCCAGGGTCCTGGATGCCCCTTTTGGTGACTATGCTGGTCCTGGATGCCCCTTTTGGTGACTATGCTCTTCCTGTGCAGGCTGCGCATGTGGAATCAAGCCTTGCCATTCGGACATATGGTGATGTTGAGGTCTGGCTGCGCTGGCATGCTAAGCGTAGATACAGTGCTTGTCGCCTGGCAGCTTTTGCAAGCAGTCTTTGGGTTCCTCATCCCAAACCACATCAACGATGTTGGCTTCGAACCCTAAATTCTAGATGAGCTAGGCTAGGACATCAAGGTTTCTCTGTCAAGCTCACACCTTCACACCCCTAGCCCAGGGCAGACGTCCCCCCTGTGAACCTTTCCATGGCAAGTTGCAAGGCACGATCTGCACGTATCATCAGCAAATCTTGCAGCATTGCGTGGCAGATGGTCTCGCTGCCATTCTCCAGAGCCCAGGCAAAGGGGGAGATGAATTGGTCTCCTGGACATAGGCATGGCATCCTAAACCCTAATCCCTAAACCAGTTTACATAGGGCTTCCGCAATATGGACCCTAGTATACCACAATCCCATACAAAGGAGCTTTAGAAGGCACTTTTCTGGGAACTTCCGTTTGAAATTCAGTCCTGAGGACTTCAGGGCTTAGGATACAATACACCCCAACCCCTTCTCATGAGTACCATTGGCTTAATTGTCAGGGAGACTAGGTGCGCATGTCCTTTGCGTAAGGCCGATGTTGTCTTCAAACCCTAAACCACTACATGCTCCAACCTAAGTACGCCCCACACTACACAATCCGCAGCCCGAACCCCCTAAACCCTAAACCCTAAATCCTGAACCCTAAGCTCTAAGCCCATAACCCTAAAACTTAAACCCAGAACCCTGAGCCCTGGAAAAGAAAAACCCTAAGCCCAACCTAGAAGTCAAATGCAACACAAGCTTGGGGGTTTAGGGTTATATTGGGATTATATAGAGGTTAGATAGGGATTATATTGGGGTTCTGTTGGGGTTATATTGGGATAATGGAAAATAACATGGCAACTACTATTTAGGATTTAGGGTTGAGGATTTAGGGGTAAGGTCTAGAAACACAGATACCTAAATGACCGGTCCCTGAAGGGTATGCCACACTATAGATCAGTTCCGCATCCTACATGAGTACATATGGTTGCCCTCTATGAAATGGACTTTTTGCTAGTTCAGAGCCCCCCCCCCCTTGTGATGTCCTTCGTTTCAAAAAAGGAAGCCGCGGCTTAGGATTTGGTAGCTTCCCCAAATTGGGGACCCCGATATACACCTTATAGTCCTTAAATAGGATCCCTCTAAAAGGTACCCCTATTTTGGGGAAACCCCAATTCAGCGTTTAGGGGAAAGGCTTGCTACTCCTACTCTCACTCCCCACTTAGATTGGCCACTCCCCTGAACTTACTGGTTCTTAGTAGGGAGTAAGGGGATATAATCCCTATATAACCCCTACTATTCCCATATTCCCTACTAAGCACCAGCAAGTGAAATTCTTCAAGGGATGTGTTTGTAAAGGATGTTTTGGGGTGCGCAACATACTAAAGGGCAGCACCCATTAACAGTTAATGGCACTTCCATATTAAGGGCTCTATATAGCTATTTTTTCCATGTTTACCAGCTGCTCATGAGTCAGTGGAGGCAGTATCCAGACCCCGAGAGTTTGTAAGGTGGACCCTAGACCCTAACCCTAAGTCCAAAACCCTAAATCCTGAACGCAACCCACTAGAATCTGTAGGGTGGATAAACCCCAAAGCGCGATCCCAACCACCTGCTGCAAACCAAAATCAGGGTTTAGGGTTCAGGGTTTATGGGTTTGGGGTATGTCCATTAAATCAGTACCCAAAACTCTTGAAATCTTGACATAGGGGCCTTCATAAATAAGGGGATCCTATCGTGGGGGGCCTCCGTAAAAAGGACAATGCTATTCCAGGATCTAAATTTGGGCCCGGCCCTGTTCATGGAAAGTACCTCTAAACCCTGAACCCTGGAACCTGAACCCTAGACCCTGAACCCAAAACCCTGAACCCTAAACCCTAAACCCCTAAACCCTAAACCCCTAAACCCTAAATCCTAAACCCTAAACCTGAAATCTAAACCCCTAAACCCGAAGCCCTTAAACCCTAAACTCTAAACCCCTAAACCCTAAATCCTAAACCCTAAACCTGAAATCTAAAACCCTAAACCCTAAACCCCTAAACCCATAATAACCCAAATAGTCGAGCGGCCGACTTGGATGTGCAGCAGCCAGGTCGCTCGCTCGCCGCGGGGCGCTGCCGCTAGGGCTTTTTGTAGGCCCTTTGTGCGGCTTAGGGTTTAGGGTTTAGGGTTCAGGGTTTAGGATTTACCATAAAACCCCCTCCTTTTCAAGGGCCTTATAGGGGTAATATAGGGGTAGTATAGTAAATTTTCCGGAAGATAGGGATGATATAGGGATAATGGAAATGGAGACTACTATATAGGGTCATCGGTAAACCCCTTCCTTCTGCCTAGTGTGATGCCTTTTGAGGGGAGGGAGTTTATTCATCAGGAATCTACATTGGCTTGAATTGTGAGGTTTCATGGGTTTGGCTAATATCTCGGAAACGTTGAATTGCAGGTTAAGGGTCGGATGACTGGGGCATTCTGGGGCTGTCTGGCTTTTTTCTTTCTTGGGCTTAAACTCATTTTTGGAAGCAGTCGTATGAAGGTTTTCAAGACTTAGAGGATATGAAGGGGACCATTACTTTTGGAAACACCCATATCAAGGGACGACAAGCAACAACGCATGAAGCTGAGCACTTGTTTCCATTTTGAGCGGCCCCTTTCCTGCTGAGTAATATGCAGAACTTCCTACCAACAGGAACAGTAGGCCGGGTCGTTGCAGCCCGCCGCCAAAACAAAAACTTTCCGGGCTTATGTTCAAAACCTGAAATACAACAAATCAACGACATGGGGTATTTCCAGAAAGAAAAAATAAAGGTCGTCTTTACATATACATCTTTATACATATAAATATATCCCAAAATACCATGATCGTAGTTTTAGGGACCCCCGCCAAAAGGAATCCCTGATTCTCGGAACACTTCTAGTCAGGCAAGCCTTGATGCTGTTGGCATTGATGGCTGTCATTACCACAGTGGAGCCTTCCTGCGAAGGGAGACTGCATGCTACTAGGGCTTGGGGTGCAGGGTAATGCAGACCCATCATTAATACACCCCTTCCATTTGAGGGCCTTAATGTGAGGATCCCTTTTATAATCCTTATAAGAGGAGGGGGTTTAGCAATCAGGGGTCTGGGCCATGGAGTCATGATACTTTCACTTCAGAAGCCAGGCGCCGCAGCAACAGCAACAGCAGCGGCAGCAGCAGGAGCAGGAGGAGTACTAGGGGCAAGTAGTATTGTCCTAGTAGCATTCGCATCAGCACTAGTGGTACCAGCGGGTCATACCTTTTTGCTATAAACTCTAAACCCTAAACCTCTAAACCCTAAACCCTTTTTCTATTCTGACAAGCCTTGATAGCACGGACCAGAACCCGCGCCACCAAGATGATTGCCCATTCAAAGGCCTCCTTGGCCTCCGCAGCAGCTGATATATTGGGGTATATGGGGATATAGGGATAATGGAAAAGAAAATGGAAACTACTATAGTATAGTATAATAGGGTATATATTGGGGTTATAGTCCCCCTTAAGTAGATAGAATACTGAGGTTATATGAGGATACAGGTACTATTTAGAGTTTACGGTTTGGGGATTGTAGTGGGTTGTATGCCATAATGGAAAAGAATATGGAAAGTACCATAACATAATAGGGTATATATTGGCGTTTAAATCAGGTCTGTGTCAGGTGGAGTTTTGAACGTTCGGGAACTTTTTAGTGGTCGTGGGGCTATGAAGGGACAGGTTTTGACCTACCAGGAAACACTCCGTTCTTCTTGCTGATGTAGTTCCGGCCTGGCAAAAGAAAACACCAACCAGCACATCTCTACCTTCACCCCCCCAAAAATACATCGAATGCCACGACGCCGCTTCATGTTGGTTGGGGGAAAGTAGACCCTTCGAACCAATCAATAAGGCCTATATGACGTCGCATCTTACACTGTCAGATGCTAAACGCTGAGCTTGAGCCTTCAAGCCTCATCAGGTGTTTAGGGTTTAGGGCCCTCAGCCCCTTGCGGCAGCGTAGACTCGACCGTGTCCGAAGCACAACTCAAATCAATAGCTCCATTGAGAAAAATGTTGTGGGACCCCGATGACCCCGAGGCTCCAAGATCATGGACCAAGTGATGCTAGCCCCAGGGGTTCAATGTACATAGTTCTCATAATTCACCACCCAAACCTAGATAGATAGCCATACATGAATACCCTAAACCCTATGTACCCCAATAGAATCCCTACCGTATGAGCCCCGTGAAAGGGCCCTAAACTCTAAATCTTACACCCTCAACCGCGTGGCGGTTTAGGGTTTATAGTCCCTGTTAAGCAGATAAACTATGGGGTATATGGAGATCTTGTTATAATATACCCAAAGCCATATTGTATCTACTTAAGGGGGACTATATGCTTCACCATTCAGGAAGTCGCAGGATCCTCCTTGTGAAGACGTCTCAATGATCAACTTATGGGTCCGTTCTCACACTGCTATATAAGCATCATGGGTAGTTCCCAAAATTACGGTCCAATTTTGGTGCCTCTATACTATTAGGTACCGCAATATAATCTACAACCAAAACGGGCTCATAGTTCGGAGAATAACCCATATACGCGTTTTATTGGGGGGGTACTATCGGTATGTTTAGGGTGTAGGGTTTTACATGTTCACACTGCCCCCAAAGCAACATGAAACCTGAAAAGAATCCTTATACAGACTATAGCCCTCTCTAGAAGGGCCTATTTGGGGAATCCATGTTAGTGTGGGGGAAGTAGGTAGGCCTCCCCAAGACCCCAAAATTATTGCCCTTCATCCCCCCAAAATGCCTATGAAGGTCAGTTTTGTGGGTATTTGGGATGTCTAACTAGAATCCTCAAGTAGAGAGGACTCCTAAATCCTAGATCTCTACAGCGCCTTGCATCCCCACCAAAGAAACCTGACCATCCCTACACAAGGATTGCGCGCTACCTATGATGTTTTGGTGTCTTTTGAAGGGTATATAGGAATATTTAAGGGCACATAAGGACATGTAGGGGTACAGAGATTTTGGGGCTTTGAGCTTGAAGTGCGCTGTTCAAGAGATCCTCTATGCCTGATACAGAACTATGAAGATACTGGACGCCCACGGCGCCCCCGAAATGCCTCCTACGTGAAGAATGAGTGCGTGGACGAACCAGAGACATCTGTTTCTACCATGTTGGCCCTCCACTAAAGCTTGCATGCTTCTTTATCGAAAAATTGGGGTCCTTTGTGTTTTAAGGGAT